TTCAGCTCCAAAGGAGAACAGTGAGAGTTTCATTCCAGAGCAATAGCATTATGCAACTGTAAACACGTTAGAACTTAATTGCCTGTTTAGGATTGAGCAGTGCTAATGACTAAGCCTAGATAGAGCAATCCAGAAGGTAAACTTGAAGGATCTTGTACTAAAAAAGAGGGTTGGAATGATAAGAAATTACTCAGGTTTAGTATTAATCACTATCTATCAGCTGGCAGCAATACTCACTTGTGATTTCATGCAGTGTTACAGCTTTTGGTAGAGGAAAGGAGGTGTGTTTTTCAGTCAAGGGAAATAGAGACTTCTGAGAGTTCACCCAAGGTGGTATTAAACATTTCAAATATCTCAATGCCACTAGCTGAAATGGGAGAATTCTTTTAATAGCAAAGAAATCTGCACCTGTGTTTCAGGAGTTCTGTTTTTGAGTTATAAAACATCTTGTGCATAACCAGAAATAGGAAAGGAGGTCAATACACTAATTATATAATAAGCTCCAGTGTGTTCTCACTCTGGCAAGTAGTTAGCTCCACTTGGAAAAACAGCTACTTTGAGCATGAAAAGCCTTTCAGTGTTCTGAAACACAGGATTTTGACATGTCCATATTTTAATATTACTTTAAGGATTCTCTTGCACTCCCTATAAGTTGTTGGGGGTTTTGAGAACAAAAGATAAACTTAATTCATAGAACTAATGCTTGGAATAAGTTTTGTGTTTCCAGGTTAGTAAATCCAGGCTGCTTGATACTTACTGGAAATCAATTTCATGAGGTGAAAAGCAAAATATTTCTCTTTGCACACTCCAGGCTAATTTTTATCTTTCCCATTAGCATATGCCAGAGAGATGGAAAGATTGAAAGCAATGCTGATTTATTAGGTGAAACAGGCAAAGCAAAATCCGTGCTGGTTGTTGTTTTTTCTGGATCTGTTGTTAGTGTGTGTAACTGTGCTTTCTTGGGTGGCTGCATTTAACGATGAAAACATGTCAATTCTGTTTAGTTTTAACTCTCAATACCCTTGAACTATTTCATAATTCTGATTCGTGGCCTAGAAAAAAAACAAACCCAAACTGAACTGGTGTGACTAAATAGGCACAAAAATTTGCTTGCTAGGAACTTCTTAGTATATTGTGGATCTTGGTCACTGTGTGCTACCTAAACCCCTTAGGTTCAAAGTGAAGTGACTGTGAAATACCTGTTAGGCTTAGATATTTAATTAATTAATTTTAATAAATTACTGGCATCATTTGGAATAATTGTGGTTTATATGTAGTGCAAACATCATGATGGAAACTTACCTCAGGTCCCGTTGGTTTCATCCCTGATGGCCTTGCACTTTCCTCATTTGTCCTCCTCGTGTTCTCTTCAGCTTCTCAGATTTGTGAGTGGGTTGGATGATATTCAGGTTACAGACCAGAACGATCACTGTAAAAAAGAATATTACTTGGAAATGAAACAGATAATTCCACTCATTTATTTCAGTTAGAGATCTTCCTAAAGATGCAGCAGTTGCATCTTCATCTTTCTGTTGTCTAAAGACAGTACTTCAACAGCATTTAATATTTTATTTACGTGATTGAAATGTGTCCCTTTTTATTTTACTTCTCTCTTCATCCTTTATAGAAGTTTTCTGGCCATGTTGAGCCTGTAATCCATGATTCCTTATGCACTCAAGAGTGGTGTTGGATTTTATTGTGGAATAAGGGTTTTTTCTTGATGAAATTCCGAACAAACTTCCAGTTCTTTCTGTGGAGCACCCCTAACACATAGTTTATGTTCATGGATTTCTAGGGATTACCTCTGTTTCAGGTTTTTTCCCCTAGGATAAATCCTGTCTTCCTGTCATGTAGCATTTCCTTTTGTGATGTACTGTGAAATCTATGATTATAACAGAAATGAAGAGAACCTGTCCCCTGGAAGCTGTAACATTGCTGGGCTGAGATTTCAGGAGTACCCAGGTGGCTGTCAGCTCAGACATCAGAAACACAGGCCTGACAGCGAGGCACTGGTGCTTCCAACTTCTGCAAGGACATTTATATTGTGGCCTTGAAAACAGTAAAGGTTGAAGGTCAGTTCTGAAGGTTGAGGTAGAAGAAATGCTATTGCTTTAAAAAAACCTGGAGTTTCTGAACAACCCCCCTCAGAAAAGGTATTACTGCGCAAGACCAAACTCACTTGCTCAGTGGAGCTTTTTGCTGAGATTATTTATTTCAGGCAGCAGGAGTGACATATTTGGAATGCTCAGTTGGTTCAGAAAGTTACTTTCTTCAGTAAACATTTCAGTTTAGTATATAATGTGGATGTTTGCCAGAGTGTTCTAATCAACAGGGAATATTTCCCTAGTAAATTCAGCACTTTCCAGCTGATTGGTGTGAGTGCTCTGAAGTGCCTATTGTGAGTGCCATCCTTGTCAGTCCTCAGAGTTGTGTATTTATTGTTCTGGTGAATGCAGAACAGAACTTCATTCTGATGCTCTCATCTTCCCCTTAATTACAGAAAAGTAATGCAGCTTTGCAGATATGTAGGAAAGTTTTTCTCAGGAATTTTTCTCTTTCCTTTAATTCTTTCTGTACATTCATCTAATGCCAAGGGAGAAATTATGAGACAACTTGAAATTTTTGGAGAGGATAAATTTGCAAATAGTTTCTTTCCTTTTGAACTGCTTAAGGAAATCACAAATTGTCTACAGTTGAAGGTAGGTATTAAAACTAGAAAGGACACGTCTTTTGGCAGTGTCAGCTGAAACTAAGGACGTTCAGATGTTCTTTATGAGGCAGCTCACGGGACTCAAAGCAACTATATTTTGTCAAAACAAACAGCAATGGAGGTTGTTATGCAGTGCCAGAAATACTGGTCAGGCTGTTTATGCAGCAGCAATATAAATTCCTGTGTGCTCTGTTGGTCTGGGTCATCTGACAGTGTGAGGGTTCCTGTCAGAACTGATGTATTGGTGCTGCAATTTATATTGCACGGGAGGATGCAGTGGGATAGAACTCTGTGTACTAGAATCATTGGAAGAGTGAACAGACTTCTTTCAAATATGCATGTGCTGGTTTTCATGTGATGAAGCTCATGAAGCAGCATCTGTTAGTCCTTACTATGCTCTTTACTCAAGACTTGAGATAGAAGCTTGAAAAATAGAGAACTTTGCATGTCAGTCCATTGTCATTTGCAGAATTGTGTAATGTTGCTGTTCTAAATATTGCTGTTGGCATTTTAGGGGTTTTAAAATTGTTCTTCTATTATTATTAAATTGACAAGGGGAAAGAAAACACTAAGAAAATAAGTTCATACCAAGCTCTTTTGTGAATACTTTGTATCTTTTAGTACTTCCAGTAGTACATAATTATCTAACATGTGAAGATAAGTAGAGACAGGCAGTGAAAAATCACAGCTTTGGAGCCACTGGTTTGGAGTTCTGGTTTACCTAAGCCTTGTATGAGAGCAAAAGGGATGTGGGATGTCAATTGCCTGGGGGTCCTGGAAGCTCCCACAGGTGGGGTGTTGAAGGTATACCAAAAGTTTGGATGTGAAGGAGTATTCTGCAGGGAAAGCTCAGAGTAGAGTCAATTTTTCTGTTGGCTCCAGTGAAGCTTGAAGCAGATTTTTCCTTTCTTGATTTACCTTACACTCAGGACCCTTTTGTAGTTAGTTTCGTGTGTGTAAAAGTTGCAGGAGCTATATTAACAGGCCAGATTGTATTGAAAAGTGTATTTCCAGGCCATTTGGAAAATAACAGGCCTTTATTTTAAGAATGTGAATGAAATACTGCAGTGAAATATTTATCTGAGTGTAATTATTAGATGTGTTAGAGAAACCAAATAATTTTTTTAGCTGCTGGAAAAGGAGAATAAATTAAGACTTTTGGCAGTTATTTGCCGATTAACCAGGGGCTGTACTGAAACTTTTTTCAATGGGCAGGTTTCATTTAGGAAGAGGGATTCTAGGCATGGATTCTTCATCTGTGATCCTAAGTCACATCGATAACACATGAGGCTCTTTTCCTTCCTGTTTCTTACAAGCTTTTTTCTAAAGCCTGAGCTTGTTCACATCCACCCTTACTCTTAATTCTAATTTCTGACGTGGTTCAGATTACAACTTAAATTTTGCCAGAGTAAATGGGTAGAACTGGGTTCATAGGGCATTTAAATGCCTTTTATGTTGAGTATTTTTAATGAGGCTGTTGATATTGGAAATGGTCTAGGATGTAGTGGCTCTTCCTGATATTAGCACAATCATTTCCTGACAGAAACCCAAAAATGTAGAAAGATATTCTTTAATATTGGCTAGTCTCAGTGTTTGTGGTAGTAATAAACATCCAGTAAGTGAGGTGAGTTAGCTCAATTCCTGTTCCCTGATGACACTTCACTCTATTTCACTTTGGTTGAGTTTTGTTTGGTGAGATCTTTATTGAATTTGAAGGGCAAACCTTGTGAGGGCTTGGAGCCCAAGGGCTTTTAGAAA